GGTATACTGGGCGATCATTTGTCAAATATTTTTGTAATGGCAGTGGGCTGAGTAGATCATGTTAAAATTTACATAAGACACTTAAAATAGAATAGCAGGGGCCTGTGTTCTGGCACAGCAGGTAAGGCCGCTGCCTGTAGCACCAGCATCCCATATGAGCACTGTATTAGCCTCCTGCTAACGTGTCTGGGAAAACAGTGATGGATGGCCTGTGGGCTTGGGCCCCTGTATCCATGTGGCATACCCCCAAAAAAGCTCTTGGCTCCTGGTTTCTGTAGCCTTTGGGAAAGTAAACCAATGGATGGAAAACCTCTCTCTCTATCTCTCCCTCTCTCTCTCCCTGCCTTTCAAATAAATAAAACAAATCTCCTTTTAAAAAGTGGATAGCAAGTACTACTTAAGTTTGATGATTTCTCATTTTTTTAAGCTTGTGGGAAAAATTCTTCTGTGCTTCACTCATTCAACAAGTTTGCATTTTTCTTGTGTTATGCACTTTTCCCAGCATGGTTTCCCCAGCACACAGTAGGAAATACCCTGATGCTTGTGGTAAAGTCCAACAAGCTTTTGTGTTAACAAATGGCACCAAAAATGCTTAAATTTCCTATCATCTACTCAGCTACACTGCGTAATTTTCCTTATATTTTTAAACCATTTCCCATCGCTCTTACAGTTTATTTGTGAAAATAACATGGCATTTTATCATTGTACAAATTATATTATCTGAAACTGCCTGATTAGATTTTAAAGATAAATATTTTATTTAGATTGTACTCTACTCACTGAAATTATGATCTTTATCAAAAGGCCTAACTACTGACGAGAGTTTTTGAGTTTTCTTTTTTTTAAATCACAATCCTATTAGTTTTACTATTATTATTATCATTATTCTTAAAAAATGGCTCTGAAAATGGTTCTGCCCAATACACTTTAAAAATAAAATAAAATCAACAGGTATCCCTAATGAGAGAATATCCATTTGGACAACGCTATCCAGAAACATGAACAGGCAGGGTTTCAAAGCACTAGTCTAATCATTAACTTATCCCCTGCATACACAGTGACTCATTTTCATGTGTAGTGCAGAGCATTTTAAATTTCTTTTCTTTTTTTTTTTTTTTTATTTTTTTGACAGGCAGAGTGGACAGTGAGAGAGAGAGACAGAGAGAAAGGTCTTCCTTTGCCATTGTTTCACCCTCCAATGGCCGCCACGGCTGGCGCGCTGCGGCAAGCACACTGCGCTGATCCGACGGCAGGAGCCAGGTACTTATCCTGATCTCCCATTGGGTGCAGGGCCCAAGCACTTGGGCCATCCTCCACTGCACTCCCTGGCCACAGCAGAGAGCTGGCCTGGAAGAGGGGCAACTGGGACAGAATCCGGCGCCCTGACCAGGACTAGAACCTGGTGTGCCAGCACCGCAGGCGGAGGATTAGCCTATGGAGCCGCGGCAGGGGCCACATTTTAAATTTCATTTGAAATTAAAAAGCAGTTTCCTATTGACTAACATGAATACTATCCCGAGACTATGGTGAAATACCAAGTCTGTTTACACTATGATTCAACAAGAACTGAAAGGTACTGTTTCAATTCCTCAGCCAGCCAGCCTCCCTACCTATTGGCTCTAGACTCATATTAAAACTGAGAGCAAACTGATGAAAAAAATATTAATGGAGAGAAACTTCCCTTGTCTAATCCTAATTATTATGTTTCCATAAATTAAATGATGATTTAAAAGTTTCCCCACCAGTTTCTCCAAGTTGGCAGAATTGAAGAATAAAAAGTTTTCTAAGCCAAATGTGCAAACCATATATTACACCCCACTGCCCACTCACATAATAATTTATTCAACATATTTCCCAACTGAATGCTGTTTCATCCACTTTCATTTGTAAGCAAGTATCAACCTGTGCAACAGCAAACCACAGTAAGTCCACACTGCATCTTGCTCACTCTCAGAAGCAAGCTGACCATCTGTCAGCCTAAGTAGCCACTCTCCAGCCATAAAGCTTAAATGCTATCGCAAGCTTTTCTAATTAAGTAGGACAGCCCAGCAAGATGCCTAAGGAGATGAACCTAAAGAATAGTAAAAGACTGAGGCTGGTGTGGGCAACCCACATCAGCGCTGGTTTGAGACCCAGCTGTTCCATTTTTAATCCAGCTCCCTGCTGATGTACCTGGGAAAGCAGCAGGAGATGGCCCAAGTTCTTGGGTCCCTGAACCCACCTGGGGGACCCAGAAGAAGGCTCCTGGCTCCTGGTTCTGCCTGGCTCAGCCCCAGCTGTTGAGGCCATTTAGGGAGTGAACCAGCAAATGGAAGATCTCTCTCATTCTCTCTCTCTTTGCCCTTACTTCTTTCTCTCCCTCTCTCCTCCCAATTTGCTCTGTAACTCTCCCTTTCAAATAAAAAACAAATAAAGTATTTAAAAAAAAGAATAGTGAAATAATGTAGTAACACAAGGTCTAATCCCTAGCTTTGTTATGATTTGTGAAAGTACAAAACCTTTTTTTTCTGTTCTATGCAGAGAAAGCCCTGCTGCACCATTTTGTGCCCCAAGCATTGGACCACCGTTGTCTGGAATCCTGCATGTAAGCTATCCTAATAAACTCTTCGTGGTTCTATGGAGCTTCCCTCTTCATATTTTGGTTTCAAGATTCCTCAAGAGTTTGAGGACCATCACATGCTTCCTCCACTGTCAGGTACAAATGCTTACCATGAGTCAAACGAGAAGAAAAGGAGGAAGAGGATGATGACAGGAGATTATGTACGTGGAAACAACTTCCTTGAGTACCTCTATTTTTGTGAAATATTTCCATAGGTAGTTTGATCTGAGGGCAAAGAACTTTTGAAAGGCTGTGACAGAATAACTGTCAAAGGTCAGCAAAGTCACAAATCTGTCAATTAGCAAACCAGGAATTCTACTCAGGTTGAACACATCTACCACATACAGCTTACATTTTTTTTTTTTTTTTTGTCAGGCAGAGTTAGACAGTGAGAGAAAGAGACAGAGAGAAAGGTCTTCCTTCCATTGGTTCACCCCCCAAATGCCCGCTACAGCTAGTGCTGCACTGATCTGAAGCCAGGAGCCAGGTGCTTCTTCCTGGTCTCCCATGTGGGGGCAGGGCCCAAGGACCTGGGCCATCCTCCACTGCACTCCTGGGCCACAGCAGAGAGCTGGACTGGAAGAGGAGCAACCGGGACAGAATCCAGCGCCCCGACCGGGCCTAGAACCCAGGGTGCTGATGCCGCAGGCGGAGGATTAGCCTAGTGAGCCGTGGCGCCAGCTACAGCTTACACTTTTTAAAATTCACATATTGTTAAGATTTTTCAAAAATAATACATAATTAATGGGGATGACATGGACTGCTGATCACCAAAGGCCAGCATGCATAGAGTAACTCCACCAGCTGAATATCAGACCAGTCAAGCCAGTGAGACAGAGACAACTTTTCTTCTCCATATCTCCTATTCTTTGTTTTCATATTAGCCTATTACATTTATCTTCTGTACATAGGACACTTATAAAGACTTAGGGTGAGTAACAAATATATCACCTACAGTACTTTGAAATAAATATCACATTGAAAATATTCAGGGGCCAGTGCAGTAGGTTAAAGCCCAGTCTGGAGTGCCTGCATCCCATATGGGCACCAGTTCAAGTCCCGGATGCTCCATTTCCAAACCAGCTCTTTGCTATGACCTGAGAAAGCAGCAGAAAATGGCCCAAGTGCTTGAGCCCCTGCACCTGCATGGGAGATGTGGAAAAAGTTTCTGGCTCCCAGCTTCGGATCAGCTCAGCTCTGGCTGTTGTGGTCATTTGGGGAGTAAACCAATGGAATGGAAGACCTCTCTTTCTCTCTCTCTGTAATTATGTCTTTCAAATAAATTTAAAAAAATATCTTAAAGAAAAAAAAATTCACAAAATTGAAAACTGAGTTTCATGGGTTAAAAAGAGTCCTTAAGAAACAAATTGTTAGAAGTTATTATTCTATTAAACATGGTCTGCAGACAGAACACTAGATCATGGTGAAAAACCAAAACTCACATGAAAAATTACAAGTCTTAGAAGTTATGCCTGTGTTGCTGCTTTGTCTTTTGCAGTCTTTAACAGATTCATTCTCCACTTTCCCACAAATCTCTGCCAATGGCCAACCCTTACCAGATGTTCCAAAGGCCGTAAACTCTTTCCCACAAGAAAGTCTGTTTTTATTTAGACCCTATTTTATGTATAATGAGAAACAGCTAGTTTCAGACTTGTGGGTACAGTTTACTTGAATCATTTAATACTCAATCTACAGGAAAATTTTCAACTCTTTCAGAACATACAGGATGGACTAGAATTTTTTCTGAACTATTTTAATGTTCAGTGCATCTGTAATTGGAAGCTGTGTTTATGTATACGATAAGGACAAAAGTTCCTTCTTAGTAAGGAAAACGTGCTCAACAGGCTGCGTTACCTACCTTTTACTTTAATTAGTCTAGGAAGTGACTCCTAAGCTCTCCATTTCTTTTGTCTTAGTTTAGTCAAACAAGCTATTCATATTAATATATTTAGTGCACTGTATTTCTTCAATGAGTCATTGAGGTCAATCACTTAGATGCAATGACAAGGACAATATGAACTCCAAGAAAACAAAAATGTAAAGTCTCTCTACCATTCCTACATACTCAGCACAAAGTATATATTCAATGACTAAGGCAACATTTAAGAATGAAGGCGTAGTAGTTAAAAAAAAATAAAAACAAAGAATGTAACCATACTTACCAAAACCTAGGTTTAAATATAGTGGATTATATACATTCAAATATAGATAGGTATTTTTTAATTACTGAAATCATTTTTAAAGAGAGTGGCAAAAGTATACCATTTAACTTCTCTTAAGAGCGGTATCCACTGTGTTTATCCTTATAATTTAAAGTTAAAATTCTGAGAGACTCCTGATCAGAGGAGGCATCAGATATCAAGTCATGGTTAACACAAATGCACTTTCCGACAAAACTAACCTTAAAGAAGGCAAACCATTTGTAGTCTTTCAACACAATCTCAAAGCCTTGGTTGTAAATGATGGTGAAATGGCCAGAATTCCCAAGTTCATCGTATGCTGTATCCAACTTCTTAAGGTGTACTACTACTTTTTTTTCTGGTGGTCCTAAAGAAAGGGAAATGCAAAACAAAGGAAAATTATTTGAATATCAATGAGCAGAAAAATTTTCTCAAGGATTTCCATTATTTGATCTGGTTGTTTTCCTTTTATACTACTACATTTGGTAACACAGCCTGGGTATGAAGAAATCTGTCTCTCACTCGTCACCTCTGCACAGTTGCTGATGGTTCCCAGAGATAGAGAAGCACCATGTATCCCAGAAAGCAGGAACACTCCAGAAAGCATAGCTCCTACTTCTGCATCGCATCCAAACATGGACAAACATGTTCAACGGAGGAATGGGATGTGCTCAAAATTATAGACAGAATTTAGAAGGCGAAATGATAGTCAAAGAGTGAAAAACACGAGAAAACGTATGACAAAGAGATAAACAGCCTATCTATAAGATCATAAGGAGGATAATGTGTTAAGTCCATGAGAAGTGGGGTCCTTTCCCCTTCAAGGCTGTGCAGTTTCAAACTTTGGAATCTGGATCCTTCCTCCAATTTTTCAGCAAACCCCAGGTTCTTATCCTATAAGACTAACTTTTGCTGACAGGAATTATACCATGAAGCTCCAGAAGATTAGGGCGAGGATGTGTGGATGTCTCCAATTTCAAAGGCGGCTCCTCAGGAAGAGGCTGCCTGAAAAGGTTTCAGTTGTATCCATCTGCAAATTTCTCCCTGGAGACAGTTTTTCCATGGCACCAATTAATTCTCTGACCTGGGAGATTTCAGCACAGTGCAAATCCTGATGTCCCTTCTGCCCAACCTCGACGTTTAAAACTATCAATGGTTATAATGCCCAGGATTACAAAACACCATGCAGTCATGTGGAGTTAAGACTGCTAAATCTGCCTCTCTAATTTGTTCTGTTGACAAGGAAGTTAACAGCTGGGAGCCCTACTCATTCTGCACAAGTCACAGGCTGCAAGGGTTTGGGCAGGCTAAGTGTGATTTTTCTGACTTGCAGTTGTTACATTTTTCTCTTTTTCACCAGATTTTTGTCCTAGAGATAGCTATGCTAACTGAAGGGATCTGGCTAAGACACAAGATTTATTAAATCTTCTTGGAGCCAGGTATTGCACTTGGCTCAGGGTAAATATAGTTACTGAGTCGAGAGGGGTTTTTCTGGTTTGTTTGTTTTCTTTTTTAAGATTGTGTATATTCTTACAATACATACAACAGTGCGGAGTGGCATCCCAAATTTTCCAGGACTTGCAGCATCAACTTACACCCAAATCAAAACCTCTGAGGCCAAGGCCCAGTGACCCTGGAAGTGAATTTCTAGCTTCTGAATCCCTGAAGCATTTCTCTCTTTTGTGCTGTGCACACTTTTTTATTATTATTATTTATAATTATTTGCATCGTGTCTCACCTGTCACCCTCTTTGCACCTATTCTGCCCCTCCCCCACCACCAGCAGGAGCCTTGCACACAGGGGTATTCACTATTTCTTATTACGGAATTGAAATTTAATACAAAACATCATAGCCTTCTTTCATATTAAAAAAAAAATCGCTGGAATTTATGGATCCTTTCCCGCAAACACACAGAGGGAGAAAAGACTTGCTGTGTTGAGCCTTTTTTGTCTTCACTACAATTTCAAAAACTACCCGATTGGACCGGGGAGTCAAAAGACCGCAGGTCTGAAACAACCCAACCCAACCCAACCCAAAAAGTACAAAAAGTAAGAGGGGGAAAAAAAAGTTTTGGAAAAAGCGTGTAAGCTCCAGGAAAAGAAAGTGTAAGGCTGAAAGTTCTCGGGCCAACTTTAATTTGGCGGCCCTGGCACTGGAGAACGTAGCCAAGAGACTGACCGCTGTCCTTCGCAGACGTCCGCGACCGCGCACAACCACCCGGGTCGGGGTGGAGTGGGGGTGCGGGAGCCACCGCGAGGGCTCAGCAGCCATAAAGCGGCGACCCTGAGGAGTCCCAGGCCGGCGCGGGAAAGCAGGTGGGTCTAGGGGCGCCGGCAGCTTACCCATGACCGAGCAGTTGATGTCGCGCTGCGAACCACTAGGGCCCACTTGGAAGACCCAGGTGCCTAACAGGTCGGGGTAAGTGCAGTTGGCAGGCGTGTCGCAGAGCACGGTGCAGACCCCGGAAAGGAACAGCAAGAGTGCGGCGAGCGGCAGACTGCACACGGGACCCATGGTGGCGAGAGCCTGCACCGGAGCGGGGACGCCAACAGGCACCGGAGCGCCTGGAGTACGCAGAAACACAGCCTGGGCCGCGCGCGCCTAGAAATAGCCAGGGGTCCGGAAACCCGCGGCCCGGAGGGGCGGGGCTACGGCGCAGTTTGGGGGTGGGGATGGGGTTGGGCTTCGGGCGCAGTCCCGCCCCCCAGGTGGGGGCTGAAGTGCTCGCACTGCCCATGCCTGGCTGCGGCTGACCCTGAACTCCTGGAGAGCCCGGGAACCTTATTCAGCAGCTAACGGAGGATACACCAGGGTAACCAGAATAAGAATTGAAGAGGGCCGCGAAGGGACCCTGCAGACACTGACTTTGCTCCTTCTGCGGGGAGAGAGAGAGAGAGAGAGAGAGAGAGAGAGAGAGAGGTGGAAGTGTAACAACTGAAGTTCACTTCGGCTGCTTTTATTATCTCATTGGTCTTCTCGGGATCAATAGCCTCATAATCGAAGCTGGGCTTTATTTCCGTTAAAAAACTGTGCTTACTCACCCCCAACCACTTTGAGGATTTCTCTTCCTTCCTTTCCCAACTCTACCTTTTTATTTGCTTGGCTTTGTTTGGTTCTCTGATTTGCCTGTTTGTCCACAAGAGAATTTGTGCAAACTTTCAGTCTTGGGGTACCTATTAATTTTGCATTTCACCCCTCCCCCTGCCTCTGGAACTTTATGGGATTTTTTTTTTAACTTTATGGCATTTAGTTAGGGGGAGAAATAACCTGTAAGAGGTAATATTGCTCAACCACTTTTGTCTGACAGATGAAAAGCAGGAGGTCCAGACAGGAAGCAGCTTGCCCAGGCAGACAAATGGGACCGATGATGGCAAAAGGCTGTCTTAGGGGTGGTAACAGTGTGCCAATCCAGTGCTCCACAAATATTAGGTAGCACCATTTCCAGGTGCCTCCATGCTCGGTTTAGGGTCATCTTGTAATAGCTTATGAGCTTTCCTGTCTGTCCTTGGTAATTGGAGCAGCTTTCTTTACTCAAACTTACTAGGTGTCAGGCCCAGTGACACCATGATGAACAAGACACTTGATGTACCCCAGTCCTCTTAGGCACATGTGTTTTTGCCCCATCCAACTGGCCAGAAATAAATATTTATATGTCCACCTTTTGTACCAGAATATAAGCATTCAAAGGGAGCAAGTCCAACTTACTCATTGTTATTTTCTCGGATTCTGGCTTTCAAACACTCAGAAAAGTGTTCTTGAATGTTAAAGTAAGTGCAATTCATATCGTTATCTTGGTTTCTAAGCCTGAAAGTCAATCTCAGTGTGAAAAGTGGAATTGTCCTTGAAAGCTCAGTGATATAAAGACTCTCCAATGGGCGCACAAACTACAGAGCCCATGGAGAGACCAATGCCTCACTGCTAGATTTTATAAACAATTTTAGGACTCAAAATTGCCGTCATAAAAATTAGGCTAACACACTTACTATTTAAACATACACAAACAGAGTAACATTGCTTTTCTAAACCTCTTGTAAAGTATGTCACTGGTTGTTAAAACATTACCATTTTTATTGGGTCATTATTATTGTAGGGTCAAATAAGCTAGACATTTCTTTGATAGGGAGAATCAAAATAGCACACTTAATTGTGAAGAGTTTAAAATGGTCTTTATTCAATGAATGGTAAGTACAAGGGGATCTTGGAGACCTCTTAGGATACTGGATTCATTGGAATATTGTGTGGAGAACTGAAAGCAGAATCACTTGCTGAATGTCGTATTATCACTTATTAAGAGTCAAGAGTCCCTGTTAAATATAAGAGTGGGAATAAGAGAGGGAGGAGATGTACAATTTGGGACATGCTCAATTGGACTTGCCCCAAATGGTGGAGTTAGAAATGTGCCATGGGATTCTAATACAATCCCATCAAGGTGGCATGTACCAATGCCATCTCACTAGTCCCAGTGATCAATTTCAGTTCACAGTTGATCACACTGATAGGTATAAGAGTCAAAGGGATCACATAAACAAGAGTAGTGTCTACTATTACTAACTGATAGAATAAAAAAGGGAGAGAATGATCCAACATGGGAAGCAGGATACACAGTAGACTCATAGAATGGCAGATGTCCTAAACAGCACTCTGGCCTCAGAATCAGCCCTTAAGGCATGCGGATCTGGCTCAAGAGCCCATGAGAGTATTTTAGGCATGGAAAGCCAAGACACTCTGGCAAAAAAACAAACAAACAAACAAACAAACACCTAAATGAAAGGTTGCTGCAAATGAGATCCCAGTGGAAAGAACAGGTCTTCAAAGAAGGAGGTACCTTTCTCTGAAGGGAGGAGAGAACTTCCACTTTGACTATGACCCTGTCAGAACAAGATCAAAGTCGGCGAACCCAAAAGGCTTCCATAGCCTTGGCAACTCATGACAAGAGCCTAGCGAGATTACTGATGCCATAAACAAGAGTGTCAATTTGTTAAGTCAACAACAGGAGTCACTGTGTACTTACTCCTCATGTAGGATCTCTGTCAATGTGTTGTCCAATGTGAAGTAATGCTATAACTAGTACTCAAACAGTATTTTACACTTTTTGTTCTGTGTGGGTGCAAACTGATGAAATCTTTACTTAATATATACTAAATTGATCTTCTGTATATAAAGATAATTGAAAATGAATCTTGATGTGAATGGAATGGGAGATGGAGTGGGAGATGGGAGGGTTGTAATCCATAAGCTGTGCTTCAGAAATTTATATTCATTAAATAAAAGTTAAAAAGGAAGAAAGATGTGTAACTTTGCTTGTGCGCCTTGATTTTTGGTTTAGTGTATTTCATGAACATTTTTTAAACATTTATTTATTTATTTATTTGACAGCTAGAGTTATAGACAGTGAAAAAGAGAAAGGTCTTCCTTCCCTTGGTTCACCCCCAAAATGGCCACTACAGCCAGAGTTGCACCGATCTGAAGCTAAGAGCCAGGTGCTTCTTCCTGGTCCCCCTTGTGGGTGCAGGGGCCCAAACACCTGGGCCATCCTCCACTGCCTACCCGGGCCATGGCAGAGAGCTGGACTGGAAGAGGAGCAACCGGGAATAGAACCCAGCATCTATATAGGATGCCAGCGCCACAGGCAGAGGATTAACCAAATGAGCCACGGCGCTGGCCCCTATTTTTTTTTTTTTTTCTTAAGATTTATTTTATTTGAAAGTCAGAGTTACACAGAGAGAGAAGGAGGGGCAGAGAGAGAGAGGTCTTCTATCTGATGGTTCACTCCCCAATTGGCCGCAATGGATGGAATGCCGCCCATCCAAAGCTAGGAGCCAAGAGTTTCTTCCAGGTCTCCCGTGTGGGTGCAGGGACCCAAGGATTTGGGCCATCTTCTACTGCCTTCCCAGGCCACAGCAGAAAGCTGGATTGGAAGTGGAGCAGCTGGCACCCATATGGGATGCCGGCACTGCAGTCAGAGGCTTTACCTACTATGCCACAGTGCTGGCCTCAGATCTGTTTTCAATTAACTGTATACACATACGGTTGACTCTATACGAAGTAAAGAGTTCAGCAAATAGTATATAAAAAACTGTTTCTCAACAGTAGAGTCAAGGGCTTTTCAAAGTCATCACATCTCAAAGTGTCAATTTCACTTCTATACATTACCTTTCAGGAACTCTTTTAGTTATTACAGATCGGGGAGAACATATGGTATTTGTCCTTTGCAGACTGGCTTATTTCACTAACTATGATGTTTTCCATATCTCAGAGAGAGAGAGAGGGAGTGAAAGGAGAGGAGAGAGGGATGGATGACCTTGAGAGTACCACTTTTTTTCAAGTCTGACTCTGACACTCACCAGCTCTTTATTCTTGAGGATGTTATTTTACTTCTTTTCATGACTTAGTTTTCTCCTCTATAAAATGTGCATACTTATCTTACCCATGACTACCTTATTTTGTTTTAAGACTAAGTGAATTCATACAGTCCTCTGTGGAGATTTCACTGCATTGATTCCTATTTATATTAGAAAACTTTTCCAAATTAATTAGAGATTTTAAATCTTGTTCATTGAAATTCCTTTTTTTAAAAAAAAAAAGATTTATTAATTTATTTGAAAGGCTGAGTTACAGGCAGAGAGAGAGAGAGAGAGAGAGAGAGAGAGAGAAGTCTTCCATCCACTTGTTTACTCCCCAAATAGCCACAATGGCTGGTTCTGGGCCGATCTGAAGCTAGATACCAGGAGTTTCATCCAGGTCTACCATGCAGGTTCAGGGCCTAAGGACTTGAGCCATCTTCCACTGCTTTCCCAGGCCATAAGCAGAGAGCAGGATCAGAAGTGGAGCAGCCAGGACTCAAACCAGCGCCAGTATGGGATGCCTGCACTACAGGCGGGGGCTTTACCTGCTACCCACAGCACCATTCCATGTTCATTGTAATTCTAACATGCTGAATAATTCCTGGCACATAGTAAGTGTTCAAGTACTTATTGAATAATATGATGGACATAAATTTATATTTCATGGTATTTGGCAAAAATCATTATGATTTCCATTTTTTTTTTTGCCTTCGGGATAAATCTGAAAATCACTGTACAGGTATGCACATCTAAACAAAGAAAGATTTTAGAAATAGAGGAAGAACTTGACATATCAACATTGTATGATGGCATTTGGTATTGTGTATAGTTATGACATTGGTGGCAACAATGATAACAATAATTAATAACAATAACACTTTTAATTATCTAGCACTTTACATTTTAAAGATAGAAAACATATTATCCCAATTCATTATTAGACACATGTATGAGGAACATTGTTTCATTTACTTTATATGCCAGATCAAACTGAGGCTCAAAGAAGTTATTAGGTAGTAAAGCCTGTGAAGGAAAAAGTGAGGTGGAAAGAGGATTAGGAAGAAAACGCCCTGGATGACATCATAGGTGCAACACCTGTGAGAAGAATGAAATGAGAACTGCAGAGAAGCAGATTCGGAAATGTAACTCTGAAGGGCAGGTGGTGTGATTCAGAGTTAAGTTGCCACTTGGGACTTCAGCATCCCATATTAGAGTGCCAGGAATCCAGTCCTGCTGTGCTTCCAATCCACTTCCTGCTAATTTGCATGCTGGAGGCAGCACAGG